CGTACGACGAGAGAGAGAGAGAGAGACAAGAGAGAGAGTAAAATAGACGGGGGAGGCAGAGAGAGAGAGAGAGAGAGAGAAGAAAGAGAGAGCGGGAAATAGAAATGGTGGAGCCACAGAAAGGGAGAGGAAATGAGGAGGGGGAATGGAGAGAAAAGAGGTGGAGAAAAGATGGGAAAGAGAGAGGAGAAAATGGAGAAAGTTGAAGAGAAAAGGCAAGGAGACAGAGTATTTGTGATTAGAGGTGATAGGATGGCAGTGGGGGTTGTGCTCTGCCTGGATTGGCAGGCTGGCTGACTCTGTATCACTGTGGCGCTAATAGCAGACCGCCACTGGGTGAGATGGGGAAAGGCAGAGGACAAGGCAGAGGAACGGCACGCTCTGAAGGGATGACACACCTCCTGCTGAGGGTTTCCACCAACAGACCTGAGCTGTCCTGGTGTGAGCCGCCACTGTGAGACCAAGTTAGCAACGGTGATGGGATGTGGCAATGCTCAGTATAAGGCTGTGGCTTTGAAATTTCTAAAATATTTTCTGGGAAAGTGAATCCCAAACAGAGTAAATGGTATTTCAATTCGACAAAAAAAAAAAGTCTGGTGGTGGATTTTCTTCAACCCAAAGGAGCACATCACCTTCCTGTGCCCTGGCAAAGACCTTTAATAATGTCCTTGATTTTGTTGAAACTGTCTTGCACAAGCTTCCCCTTTCATATGGCTTAATTGATTATCTGTATGCATGCTCACGCTCGTCTCTCTCTGTCCACCCCACCAGAGCCCATGCACGGCCCGCAAAAGCTGGAAGTGGTGGACATCCAATCCAAACAGGTGACGTTGCGCTGGGTGCCTCTGGGCTACAACGTGACCCGCTGCTACAGCTACAACCTGACCGTCCAGTACCGCTCCAAGGTGGCCGCCAAGGAGGAGACCCGCGAGGAGGTGGTCTATGACACCCAGAGCCGCGATCCTCAGCACACCATCCACAACCTGACACCCTTCACTAACCTCAGTGTCAAGATGGTGCTGCGCAATCCAGAGGGGGTCAAGGAGAGCACGGAGCTGGAGGTTCAGACTGATGAGGATGGTAAGAGTGATGCAAGGTTACTTCCTGTACAGGTCAGGGAAGAATTACACGAGAGCTTTTCTGCCTTTGTTTGAAAGAACCGATAGATTGAGAGGAAAGAGAGGGCAGTCATAGAGCAAAGGGCTGTAGGTTTAACAAAGAGTATAACCAAATATCTAACCCACACACAGCAACCCAGAAGCCCTTACTGTTTAATTGTGGAAAATGTAGAATACACTTCACTGGAGAACTATAATGTTGTGTCAATAATATAGACAATGTAAGAGCAGAGACTATGTATACAATTGAAAAGACAGGTTAGTGTAATTCAGGAGGAAACACAGGTTGCTGACTGTGAAATTAAAAGCAGCTATTTCTTACTAACATTATGATTTAATCCTGCATAAATTGCATATTTAATGTTTCGCAAAAAACATAACAGACCTTATTCAGGCAGACTGAGATGGTGAGGTAGTTGATTTCCAGATAAAAGCACTTAAAATATTGGATAAAACAATAATTTCCTTTCCGTTTGTTCCATATTTTATAGTTTTGGCTGAAAGAGATTTAGCTAAATTGATCCTAGATCCTAAGTTATCTGCTAATATAAGGAAAGCAAACAAACAACTAGGGATGCACAGAATATTCGGCCACCGAAAATTATCGGCCGAAAATGGTTAAAAAGGCCGAAAGCCGAAAGGGTTTTAGCACCGAAAAAATATCACCGAATGTCAGAGAACAGGGTTACGTTGATCATACTCCGCATATTTGTCCGGGTGTTTTGATTTCAAGTGGTGGAGTAATCCCGAAGTGGTGAAAGTCTTTGCAGTTACACCCCCTCGAGAAATGTCAGCTGAACACGTTTTACAAATCGCAATCCGCGCCTCTTTCTCTGATATTTTTAAATATCTCCAAGCGGCAGACATGTTGGCTGTGAGCCAGCCGCGAGCATGGTCGCGCGCCGTGCTTGTTGTCGCCGCGTTTTGATTACGTCATCACAACAACACGTTAGGTTAACTTATAGGTGCATTTGTTGTTGTTGAAGGCCTGGCTGATACAGTCTTTATTTACACTATTTTGATGTAGGCCTACTGGCCTAGATGTTTATTTTAAAGCACCTTGGCTTTGTTCTGAATGCACTTTGTTGTAGTTATCCTACAGAGAAAAGAAAATGCACTTGACTTGGAATTAATGTACTGTATGCATTCAAAAGTGCTGAATACATGTTTTATGGACCCATAATAGTGATTATTATTTAAGTTAAGTTTTGCCATAATCATGTATTTTTCCATAATCAGGTAGCTGAACAACATTGGTAAAAAATGTATACATTATATATATTTCTATTAATCATTTTCGGCCTTTCGGCATTCGGTTTTCGGCCAACTGTTTCCAATTTTCGGTATCGGTTTCGGCCAAGAATTTCCCATTCGGTGCACCCCTACAAACAACCCAAGATTCAAATAAATACATTATAACTACAATATTTAAAATATTACATTCTGGAAATTAAATGTATATTACTTATATTTACCTTATTTTAGAGGAAGGGAAAAAGCATAGCAGAAAAACTCACCTTTATTATAACATTTGTGACATTTTGATCTTAAACATCGGTGGATAACTCTCACCTGATCATAAGAAGCTTGAACATTTCTGGATTCTCCAAATATCTTTAAGGGGAGCACGAGTCAAATGAAAATCTTCTGTGTCGTCTGGTTGTTTCACCTCCTTCAAAGATGAAAGATCAACCGTGTTGCATCAGCAGACACAGGAAATGAACTCGAAAGAAGTCTCAAGGAGCCCCGGCCTCCAGATAACAAACAGGCTCAGCTGACGAAAAAGAGAGTCTTGTCATGTCTGAGGGTGGAATGTGTGTGTGTGTGTGTGTGTGTGTGTGTGTGTGTGTGTGTGTGTGTGTGTGTGTGTGTGTGTGTGTGTGTGTGTGTGTGTGTGTGTGTGTGTGA